TCGAGTCCCACCCGAGTAAGCTTGTGAAGTATTTTTCGCAAGCTCTTGGACAAGCACTGAGCATACAGTGTTTATTAATATACGTTGGGTAATTGCAAACCCGTTATATATAATTAACATTTCCCCAACGCAAAAAATACATCTTGAAGATGTTTATTTGTGCTTTACATGTACATGTCGGTAATAGTCTGTTATATAGCGATCAGGTGCATGTTTTAAAATCATTCCATAAATTAGTAATATAGTTTCTACGTGTATGACACCAAGTACTGAAGAAATTGTTGATATCTGCATATTGCTGACAAAATAATCTTTACCGAATTTCAAGATCTTGTAAGAATAAGATGTACATGTATCATTGTATTAAATCAACTTGAAAAAATATGAAGCTTCTTGTTTACTCATTTTCATGCTTGGTACAATGTCTGTGTAAGTTGTACCGTTATCACACTCGTCTGATTGGACTGCGTGATAACATGGGTCCCTCTTTGACAAAACTGTGGCCTATCTGGATTCAGTAGTCCATCCAAAGGATGATTTGGTCCAGTGGGACAGGTTTTTTCTGGTGTCTTTGGACCAGTCGATTTTTTTAGTCCAAACCATTTCCTAAAAGGTAAGAAGAGACAACACACTATGTCCCACATTGCTAAAATTGATGTCGTTTTGCTTGCAGATAGACCAGATCCTTTAGACATGTGTAGATTCACTGGTCGAAGTCAGTGGATGTTTTTTAATTAAATCTATAGATCACTTCATTTTCATTTATATCTTACTGGTACTAGGCTACCTGCGTATGGAATCTGTGTATTTGGAACTTTCAAATTCGTTCAGTTCTGGAGCCGACTTTAAGAATTTTTCCGCTGGTTTTTGGTTTTCTTTTTCTTTTTTTTGTAATGCCCTTCTCCATACCAAATAAAATGACTTATCATTTATGTGAAAGCTCAGTGCTCTAGTTTAACTTAAATCTTCTACCAAATTTCTCTCAGGTTTTGAGTGGTTGTGTATATGTAATCAGCTATCACTATTTGTATCTTCACAATGGTGTCATCCTTTGGCCCCTCTGAGACGTTGGATGTGGACAGCCTCAAAGAAAATGTCATCTTCTTGGAATCCATCCCCAACCTGCGCCGGGTGGATAGCCATGGCAGGTTGTTCCGGTCCTCCAGGCAGGACGGAGCCTCACAAGCAGATATTCAAGCCCTTGCCAATCGTGGCATCCGCTCTTACTTAGACTGTCGCAGCACGTATGAGTATCGAAACATCGACAACGGCAGGGCTAAGGCAATCGATGGCTTTGTCCATGTCTTGGTACCAGACATTCCGGATCCAAAGGCAGCAAAAGGTTACCCCTCCACTAGCAGCATTCCTGTGAAAGATTTAAGCGGAAAACTGGTCACAGATGCCTCACCTGGGACATGCCCACGGCGATATTTGATCAACATGTTCAGTAAAGAGATGGCTCTTGAAATCTTCCACATGGCACCTTGGTACAAGCAGATTTTCACCATTCTCTGGGTAATCATCGGCATCTTTGTAGTAGGTGAACCCATTTTGCATTTTACACAGTGTTTAGCGGGTGAAATCCAAAGATTTGGCCTAGTTGGACGGTACAAAGGATTTCTGGAGTACGCAAGCAAGGAAATTTGTTTCAGTAAGTCATCAGAGAAAAAAGCAAACTTAAAGAGCAACTCAAAGGAAAACGTGTTTTCTCTGATTTTATCTGTTCAAATAAATATGGAAGCA